AGCACACATGGGGGCTAACAACCATTTGTAGCTCCAGTTCCAGGGGATCTGACACCTTCTTCTAGCCTCTGTGAGCTTTGCATGACAAGGGAACACTTACATATATACAGGCAAAATGTTCATACACATAAGATAAAAATAAAAATTGTTTAAGATAAATATACTTTGGTTGGGTGTGGTGGCGCAGGCCTTTAGTCCCAACACTCAGGAGGCAGAGGTAGACGGGTCTCTGTGAGTTCGAGACCAGTCTGGTCTACATAGCAAGTTCCAGGCCAGCTGGGGCTACAGGGAGACCCTGTCTCAAAATGACCCCCCCACAAAGAAAGGTAAATATGCTTGAGTCTGAGATGTGGGAGGGTTTCCTACTGAAAGAGCCATCTTTTTTTAATTTTTACTTTTTGGTGTTTTTGAGACAGGGTCTCACTAGGTAGAGAAGGATGGCTTTGAACTCACTGAGGCCTGTCTGCCTCTGCCTCCTAAGTGCCTGAATTAAAGGCGTGTGCCACAATGCCCGACAGAAGATTCAGTATCCAACAAGCTTAATTAGCACATGACAATTCACCAATGTAATATGTGTTGCAGGGGAAAATGGTTATACTGCTAAATAGGCTCTGTGAGATCTGTGAGCTTTCTTCTTTTGAGCAGGGTCCTTCAAGGCTAGAGGAGGCAGCTGAGGCCAGTTGCCTCCTGCCCTTGTCTTTAGACATTTTATCTCCTCTGAGCAATTAGGCTCTGCCTTTCCTGCATCATAGCTCTAGCCCTTATCAACCTGTCCCATTTGGCCATGTGCCTAGTTAGACATGTAAATTCTCTTGGCCCTTGAAACGAGGAACGCTTGACTTCAGTATCCAGTAGAAAAGGAAGCTGTCTTCTGAGACATAGGAGGCATCAGTGAAACGGCCTGAGGTTTCTATATTTGATATCAGAGCTTGTGTTGAATTCCCCTCCATTGGGAGAGAGCCGACCACTCAGATTTCCCACAGGGAAGAGATCATATCTGGTGCCTGTAGGGAAAGGACATCCCCCACCCCCACTCCTATAGTCTGCTGCTTCCTTACCAATCTCTCCAAAGCAGCCCCCTGTCACATAGCACAGCCCAGGACAGCCGTCTGGCTCTGAAAGGCCCCAGTGTGAAGGGAATGTAGGCTCCAGTAGGGGGAATCCCGGGTTCAACCTGGCATACACTTCCTCCTGCCCCCATTCATTGACAGACCTTGCCTTGATTTGTCTTGGCAGAAAGCCAGGGTTCGAGCTGGCAAGACCTTCCCCACCAGCCCTGCAGACTCACTGGAGGACCAGCTGAAGCCTATATTGGAGTGGGCCCATGGAGGCTTCAAGCCCACTGGGATTGAGGGCCTCAAACCCAACAGCAAGCAACCAGGTGGGAATGAATCCTATAGACAATAGGAACTGAACATCCAGGAAACATGGTATTCTCTCCCCATCATTGTTTGCTACGTGTTCTTTGCTCTATCGTGCAATTTCTTGGCATCTACAATACACACTGAAAAAGAATCAAATCTCCTAAGTTGATGTGAGTCACTCAACCTCTGCCTTACTGCTCCCCCTCCCCCTGCCCCCATGATGCTCAGGCTAACCTTGGTGCACAGCCAACTTCTCAGCACTCTTTGGATTCCTGCTTTCTCTTTATTTCTTAACGTTAATGGTATAAGCAATGTCTAATGACACTTTGCTGTTAAAGACGTAAGTGTTATGTTTTTGGGACAAGAGTCTTAATATGTAACCCTGTCTGGCCACATGCTAGGATTATAAGCCTATGTAACCACACCTGCCTTCCTTATGATTTTTGATGAATATCTAATTTTCTTTCTTAATGTGTGTGTGTGAAGAGTCACACTTAACCTTATCTACTATGATTCAATAGCGCAAATAAAAATATAAACACAATTGAATGAGAGCCACAGATATAAATTATTTTCTAGTAGCTTCATTGTCAAAGAACAGTGAAATTAAGACTAATCATAAATTTGAGCCCAATAGTTCTAAAATGTTAGTTTACTATTTCATTCCTATAGAAATTGAGATATTTTACTTTTTTCTTGGTATTGCTCTAAAAAAATCATGCATTTATGTAATACAGTTTAAATAGAAATTGATTATTGAATGCATATTAACCAATTTCATAAAATTCGCAAAAGTAGATTCAAGTGCCTAAGTTGGTCCAAATGAATGAGCTTGCTGCCTCACTTGACCATTTTGGACCTGACCTTCAGTGTGGACTCCTATCTGTCATGGCAGTTCAAGTGTTCAGTAGCTGCGTGTGCCTGTTTCTCATTGTGTTGGGAATCTGTGCTTACCTCAGCTCTACCATGCAATTTCTTGGCATCTACAATACACACTGTGGGTTGAGCCTCTATTCTTTGACCTGTGTCTAGAAGGATGGATGCTGTTGCACACACAGATGTTTATGTTTACCAGGTACATGAGTTAGTCCTGCTTCCTGGATGAGAGGAGCATTGAATTGGCTTCTGTTCTGGGTTACCTGCCCAGGGGTCTACAGCCATCATGGTCCCCTGCTGTAGATGCTGGAGGAGCCCAAGCAAAACATGGGCTTGTCCTAGGCCCTCCTCCTGGACCCTCCAGTTAAATTTCTGTGCTTACTTATCACAGAGAGCAAAAGTCGAAGACGCACAACAGATGACTCTGCAACTTCTGACTATTGTCCCCTACCCAAGCGCCTCAAGACAAACAGCTGTGGTGGCAAGGACTGTGGGGAGAATGATCAGAGCCGAGGTGATTAGCGGGACTCTGAAAGGTCTGGAGATGCATTGCACATTATCTGGAGCAGCAGGCTACCAGGGCCACTGCATCATGGGATGGAGTGTTGCAGTGCTGAGGGATCAAGGAGCACCTTCTGACCTCATCTCATACCTTGTTCCTCTTTCCTCAACAGAGCAAATGGCTTCCGATGTTACCAACAACAAGAGCAACCTGGAAGGTACTTACTTAACCCAGCCCTCCCTTCTCAGGCTGCCTCAGCCTGCCTTACCATGCCTTTTCCTCCTGGGTTTAATCCAGAACCCTGGGCTTTGACCTACCTAGGTCAAGACCCTACTTGATACATTTTATCAGACCACATGAAATGATTTCTTTCTTTTTTATCTGAATCTGACTGTGCCCCTGAGGTATGTGACCAGCGAGATCGGAGTAGGGAAGATTGGAAGCTGTGTCACTTTGGCCAAAATGCCTGGAACCCTAAAACTCCCAATCAATGGTCTATTGAGCCTTTCCCATGCAAGAACCCCAAATAGCTCTTAGGTGAGAAGCAGGCATATTTTTCCACTGGCTCCTTCTCAAGCTAATTGGTCTGCTTTTCCCAAATGAGTGTTGCACTGGGATTCAGAATTCTGCCAGGAACAGGCCTAATGGAGTTTTAATGTGTGAGGAAGAAGTGAATCTTCATTTGCATTCTCAGTCCAATGTCCTTTAGTCTTCAAATATTTATCGAGTGGTTATTCGGTACTGGGTATGAAAACACAGATCCAGACCCAGGGCATCTTGGGAAAGCTATAGTTTAGAGTAGTCTCTGACAATTTAGAAATGTTAGCCCATGACCCTCCATGTACCACAGGAGTCATCCACCACCAGTTTCCTCCCTCACAGTCAGACAGTCTTGGCTCTTACAAAGGTCCTGCCTACCTGAATAGTGAATCAGATGTGGTTCTTAGATCCAAGGCAGAGTAGTCTTGTGGGAAGGACTTGAGCTGTGGGATTGCAACTATGTACTGTGTTTGTAGGGCATGGTCACAAGTTCTGTCATCAGCTCCCAAACCAACTGGAGTCACTGCAAGTGTCAATGTCTGAGATTTTTCTTTTTTTAACTTTTTTTTTGATGTGTATGTGAATGAATGTTATGCCTGCATATATGTAAATGTACCCATGTCATGCACTGCCTAAGGAGGTGAGAAGAAGGCATTGGATCCCCTGGAACTAGAGTTACGGACATTTGTTAGCAGCCATATGGGTGGTGGGATGCGAACCTGGGTCTCCCACAAGAAGAACCAGTGCTCTTAACTGCTGAGCCATCTCTCCAGTTCCTTAGTGTTTGAGACTTAATGTTTATGAAAATTGGAAACATGCCATGGGGCTAGAAAGATGGCTCGGTAGTTAAGAGCACTGACTGCTCTTGCAGAGGACCAGGGTTTGATTCCCAGCACCCACATGGCAGCTAACAACTGTCCTTAACTCCAGTTCCAGGGGATCCAATGCCCTCTTCTGGCTTCTGAGGGCATTGCACACATGGGTGCACTTACATAGATGCAGGCAAGACACTCCTAGGCATAAAATAAAATAAACTTAAGAAAGCAACATACGCCTAGCCTGGAGGAACTCTTTCCTAGTATTCGGCTTCTTGTCTTTTTGCCTGGCCAGCTCATTGCCTGCTTTGTTGCATCTTCTGTTTGACAGTTTGAACTTGTATGGCCATAGACTTTGAAATGGGGCTGGCACCTTTGAAACACTCTTGAGTCTTTGGCCATAAAACCTTGAACATACCTGATTTTATGTGAAACACTTTGTGTTGAAAGGCATTAACATTAGACCAGGGACAAAGAGTCCTTGGCATATTGCTGGCCTGGAGCAGATGTTCAGAACTGTCAGGCTTGAGGCTTAAGCAGCTGATGGTAGGCTCTTGATTTCCATAACTGTGATGCCCTGTCCTTCTTGCAGACAGCTGTTTGTCTTGTGGAAGGAAAAACCCCGTGTCCTTCCACCCACTCTTTGAGGGTGGGCTTTGCCAGACATGCCGGGTAAGTCTTCCTGCCCCTTCCTTCCCTGCCTTCTGTCCAGCTTTCTCTACCCTCAGCTTCCACGTAGTCCCTGCTCTAGGACCTAGAGAAGACCCCAGCCTTCCTCTTCGGTGCTACAGCAGAGAAATCCATCTGCAAGGCACACAGACCACATGCAACTGGCTAGGTGGACCTAGCTATGCCAGCTCTGTGGTTTCACTTGGGTTTCTTTGCCAGGATCGCTTCCTTGAGCTGTTCTACATGTACGACGACGATGGCTATCAGTCCTACTGCACCGTGTGCTGCGATGGCGGTGAACTACTTCTCTGCAGCAACATAAGCTGCTGCCGGTGAGCACCGTGTGCTGGGGGCTTGGTTTGAGGGCCTGGCTCCTGGGTGGTTCTCCACTGTTCCTGAAGACTCTAGGCAGCCAACTGGTGGTTGTGGGCTAAAATGAACTAAAGACAGCGCACACAGTCACTACTATGTGTATCTGGTGCTTATGACCATGGAGATGCATAGTGATAGGCTAGGTGTCTATGAAGTCAGGCCTGTAGGGTTTGGGGCCTCCCCCCACCATCTGTGTCACTGGCCTGAAATCCAAAGGTAGGTAGTTGAATCAATTGATTTCTGTGGAAGGGCCTGTGGATTTGAAGGGAACTGGTGTTATCTAAGGAAGAGGTTCAGTGTCTCATACCTCCCAGATACCTGCAGGCCTGGCTGTTGAGCAACTAAGACAACTTGTCATTTCCCATCCTCCCTCCCTCCCTCCCTCCCTCCTTTCCTTCCTTCCTTCCTTCCTTCCAAAAAGAATCCCTCTAAACCTCTAGAGTAGAGAAGGATGGGAAAGATACAGAATGGGCTTTTTCTTTAGTAGTAAAGGATTTGTTGCATAGGACTGTCCTGTAAAAGACAGATCATAGATAGATGCCTTTTTCCCAAGCTTTGTTGCACCTGCCCACCTAGGCTCATCACAGCTAAGCTTGTTAATTGTTAGGCTCCTTAAGAAAGGAGGGGCAAGGAGAGTCAGCCACACCCCCGACCAAGCATGAGTTGCACAAGGGGAAAGGGCTACGGGTATATAAGTTGAAGAAGTTGAAGGGAGGGTCTCTCTCTATGTTGTGGGACTGTGGGGATGTTACCATATTTTGACACAGGTCTTCCTCTAGCCCCAGCTGGCCTGGAATTCTCTATATAGACCAGACTGGCCTCAATCTCACAGAGCTCTCCCTGCCTCTACCTCCCAAGTGCTGCAATTAAAGTGCCACCACTCCTGGAGATAAATAAAAAAATGTTTAAAATAGAAATTTCAAGGGGCTGGAGAGATGACTTCAGTAGTACACTTATATACATGCAGGCAATATACTCATACACATTAAAGAAATTTCAAGCTAGGCATGATGGCACATGCCTTTAGTCCTAGCACTCAGGAGCCTGAGGCAAGAAGATCTCTGTAAGATTGAGGCCAGCCTGGTCTACATAGCAAGTTCCAAGTCAGCTGGAGCGATAGGGAGACCCTGTCTCAAAAAACAAAATAAAACAAAAAAGTACTTTATTTTTATTTTATGTGTATGACTGTTTTGCCTGCTTGTATGCAAGTGTACAACATGTGTGCAGTGCCCACAGAGGTTGTGAAGAGGGTATTGGATCTCTTGGAACTGGAATTATGGCCAGCTCTTAGCCACCATGTGGGTGCTAGGAACTGAACCCAGGTCCTTTGCAAGAGCAGCAAGTGCTCTTAGCTACTGAGCCATCTCTCTAGCCCCTGGCTTGAAGTTTTTGACACCATGTTGTCATCCTTTGGGGAAGTTTGGGCCTGGCAATGATGATGTCCCTTCTGTCTGACTACTGTGTGCAGGTGCTTCTGTGTCGAGTGTCTGGACGTGTTGGTGGGCACAGGCACGGCTGCAGATGCCAAGCAGCAGGCGTTCTGGAGCTGCTACATGTGTGTGCGAAGGTGCAGCCATGGTTTTCTGCGGCGCCGGAAGGACTGGAACTTGCGCCTGCAGGCCTTCTTCTCCAGCATTCTTGACATTGAATATGTAAGCCTAGACTCTGTCAATCACCAGCCGAGGCCGCAGGTGTCTGGAGCACTGTGGAATTCTCATAGCATAAGTTCATGGAAGAGAGCTTAACACGGTGACACACATCTATATTCTCTGCATTTGAGGGTGGTGGTGCAAGTAGAAGGGTCAAAACTTCAAGGCCAGCCATGGCTACATATGTTCGAGGCTAGCCTGGTGTACATGTGACTCTGTCCTAAAAAAAAAAATAGATGGAAGAAAATCAAACATTGTGAACCATGTTAGTAATCCTAGTGCTAGGAAAGCTGATCCAGGATGTTCACCATGAGTTTGAGGGAATTGAGAGAGGCCCGTGTTACACAGTATGTACCAAGCTAGTCAGCAAGACCCTGTTTCAAAAAGACAGCAACAACAAAAAGAGCAGACAAGACAGAGTGTCACAGGATGAAAGACCTTGCTAGTTGACACCTATAGCATACAGCTGTCCCTGCCTTCTTCAGGTGCCACCTGATGAAGGAATAAGGAGGAACCTTCTGGGTGGGTGACTGGGGGAGCTGCTCCCACATTGTAGTAGGGGGTTTCTCTTCTGTTCTTAGAAGCCCTGGGTAGTTCTTGCACTCAAACTTCATGTCTTTCTATGAGTATCCACAGGAGTCAGCTGTGCCTCCCTCTAAGGTAGAATGTTCTGATCTGTGCCAAATGCAGGGTGACCTGTCTCAAGCTCTCTTACCAGGTCCCACCAAAGCTCCTGGGGTGCAGCAGGGTGGAACCTGATGAGGCAGCAGCCCCGCTCCCTCAGATGTTGACTGATTCTCCTGCTCCTTCTCCTCTTCACCTTCTTTCCTCATCTGGCAGGAGGCCCCCAAGTTGTACCCAGCAATTCTTGCAGCCCAAAGGCGGCCCATTAGAGTCCTGTCCCTGTTTGATGGAATTGCGACAGGTAAGTTTGAGACTTCACCTGAGGATGCTCTGCTGCCTCACTGCAGGAGCAGCTAGGGAGCTGAAGGCCTCATCTGGTGGCAGTCCTAACACAACCCCTGGAAGGACCTGTGTGCCTGTTCTTGCTATACTCCAGGGCTTCTTCCTTCTCACCACCCAGTGCTCTGTCTCAAAAAGATTAAAAAAAAAAAAAAATCCCCCTATCTAGAAGCCTTTGAGAGGGAACTGACACTGATTCTAACCACTCCAACAGCTATCAAAATACCTGAAAGCAAACCCTGAATCTATCACTCTAGAGTCCAGCCTTGGAAGACAAAAGAAAAATGAGGAAGAACCCAATGGAGGGATGCTTTCAGAAGCCCTTGTCAAGAAACTCCAATGGACTCTCATATGAACATTTGAAAATTGCCCTGTTCTGACTTTTTTCTAGTTGGCCCTCTATCCTCAGACACGATGAAGTGAGGACTTACTTCCATGAGTTCGGTCACGTCATGCATCAGATCTGTGCACAGGTGAGTGATCTTTCATGGTAAACCCTGGTTGCCTTTCTAGTTTTTTCTTATATTTTTGCTGCTGTCAGTTTTCTCTCAACGTATTTTTTTTAGAACATGAACATGTTAGAGAATTTGTAAGCCTGCAGAGACAGTTTTCTTTGTCACATCCTCTCCCGGTGTGTTTTTACTTGGAGGTTAGCCACTGATGAAAGATCTTTCTGAATCTCTGCTTTTGGAGGAACAAAGCCATCACAAGAAAGGGTTGTAAATAGTGTGTTCTTTCCTTTTAATTATTTTCATCTCCCTAGGAATTTGGTGTCTGCCTCACAGATCAACACCCATAGCTGCCTCCATACATCAGTGGCTTCCTACCTTCTCACACCCTTTATTCCTTCTCTACTACTCAGTATTTTGGGACACCCAAATTAATTAATTCTTCCAATTAAGAACATAACTAATATAACCATGCAGAGCCAGGTATAGTTGCATGCACTTGTAACCCAGCACTTGGGAGGCAGGCAGGAGGAGCAGGAGATCAAGACCAGCTTGGGCTACTTCAAGACCAAAGGGAGACCCTGTCTCAAAAAGACCAAATAAATAAATAAATAAAGAAAGAAAGAAAGAAAGAAAGAAAGAAAAAAACCCATTTTAAATTTATTTTTATTTTATGTGTATGACTGTTTCGCCTGCAAGCATGTAGGTGTATCCATGTGTGCAATGCCTGTGGAGGTCAGAAAAGGGCACTGGATCCCCTGGAACTGGAGTTATGGATGGTTGCTAGCTGCCATGCAGGTGCTGGGAATTGAACCTGGGTCCTCTGGAAGAGCAGCCAGTGCTCTTAACCTCTAAGCCATCTCTCCAGCCCCCTTGGTTACTTTTTAAAAGGACATTCTTCTTAGCTGTTGCATTTTAATTTTTATTCTGTTCAAAGATCTCAAAGTTTCCTTTCTACCTGCATAAATACCTTGATAGTCAATTAGGCAATAGCTACCTTCATTAGTCTTGGTTCCTTTCCATTTTCTGAGCTTTCCCATACATGGAGTGAGCACAGCCAAATCGGGCAGAGCCCTGGGGTCCCCTGGAGTTGACACAGTCACTCCTAAAGAGCCAGTAATGAAGTAAGAGGTCCTCATTCTGGCACAGGGAGAAGCAGTGAGGTCGAGCCACTCTGCACTTTGCCTTATTTGTCTTCACCTTTCTACCCGCCCCTCACAGGCTACTTGGTCCTCAAAGAATTGGGTATTAAAGTGGACAGGTACGTCGCCTCTGAAGTCTGCGCAGAATCCATCGCTGTGGGAACCGTGAAGCATGAAGGGCAAATCAAATACGTGAATGACGTCAGGAAAATCACAAAGAGAAATGTGAGGCTGGCCTTTGTCTTGACTCTCCTCCTCCTCGTTACCCCTCTATACCCAGAGCCTGAGCTGGTCCTGGTCCCCCATGGCGTGTTGTCCTGTCAGGACCAGGGCTGGGGGTACTTTGTCTTGACTCTCCTCCTCCTCGTTACCCCTCTATACCCAGAGCCCGAGCTGGTCCTGGTCCCCCATGGCGTGTTGTCCTGTCAGGCCCAGGGCTGGGGGTAGAGGAGAACCTGGGGACAATTTAGCTTAAAGTGGCAAAACGGACTACTTAGGAATAATCCAGGATGACTTAATATGAGTATTGAGATTTCTTGGGTTAAAAGTAGAGTTGCTGGTGAAATAAGTTTCTAGAATTGAGTTTTCCTGGCAGTTTTCCTTAGAATCTAAGCTTTTCTCTTTTTTTCTTTTCTTTTTTGAGACAGGGTCTCCCTGTAGCCCCAGTTGGCCTGGAACTTGCTATGTAGACCAAGCTGGACTTGAACTCACAGAGATTCACCTGCCTCTGCCTCCTGAGTGCTGGGATTAAAAGTGTGTACCACCACGCCCAGCTTATTATTTATTATTCTTATTATAATATGTGTGTGTGTGTGTGCATGTGAGTGTCTATGCCATGCCATCTATGTGGAGGTCAGAGGACAATTTTGTGGTGTCAGGTCTCTCTTACTACCTTTAAATGGGTTTTGAGGGTCAAACCCAGATTCGCCAGCTTTTGTTGGGCTCACCACTGACCTTGGTGTTTTTCTCTTAGATTGATGAGTGGGGCCCATTCGACCTGGTGATTGGTGGAAGCCCATGCAATGATCTTGCCTCTGTGAATCCTGTCAGGAAAGGCCTGTTTGGTGAGCAACCATTCTCTTTGGTCCCTAACACACCTGAATGCTGGTCCAGGTGGGAGTGGCCACAGCAGGAACTATTGTTGGCTTCTGTTCAGTCCTGTCCAGTGCCTCAGGCCTTAAGTGCTACCCCATGCTCTTTTGTAAATCTTTAGTCCTAAGAGAACTGATTTAATGAATTGTGTACTGCTGTTGCCTGTGTCCTTGCCTGGTCATTCGGGGGAATTAAAGGGGAATGTTGATGTGAGGCCATCAGCCTCACTGCCGGAGGTTAGTGGGGAATCTCTTGGTTTCAGGAAACGTGGAGATTTGTATTGAAGCTTTTGCTCAAACCCTGTTGTTCTCTTTTATGGACGTAGAGGGTACTGGCCAACTCTTCTTTGAGTTTTACCGCTTGCTAAATTACTCACGCCCCAGAGAGAGTGATGACCGTCCATTCTTCTGGATGTTTGAGAATGTGGTAGCCATGAAGATCTGTGACAAGAGGGACATCTCACGGTTCCTGGAGGTGAGTGGCCTGAGTGTCAGACCTCGTGGGTCTGGAAGGCCAGGCTGCCATTGAAGGGTATTGCCAGGTGGAAATGAGTCCCTGGTTGTTGGAGGAAGGTGTGACTAGATCTGGGGATGAAGAATTCAGCACACTTTTGGGTACGTGGGAAACATTTACCTTTAACATAACTCTACCCATGTGGGGCTGGAGAGATGGCTCAGCAGTTAAGAGCACAAATTGCTCTTACAGAGGACCCATGTTCCATTACCAGCACCCACATGGAGGCTAACAACCATCTGTAACTCTAGTTCCAGAGGATCCAACACCCTCTTCTGACCTCTGTGGGCACGACATAGGTGCACTTACATACATGCAGGCAATACACTCATACACATAAAATAAAAATAATAAATGAAATGTTTTTAAAAACTCAACCCATGCAAAGCACTAAATAATGCCACCAACATATACTTTTATTTTTTCAATTAAAATTTTTTTTCATACATGAGCACTGTATTTACATCATTTTCACCCCTTCCCCCCGCCTCCAGCGCCTCCCATCTCAGTCTGTTACCTCTCAAATTCATGACCACTTTATGTATAATTATATTATGTGTAATTATATGTATATTACATTGTATAACTATACATATATAAAACCTATTGAGGCCATTTAGTGGTGCTCATATGAGCATGTGTTTAGAGCTGACCACTTGGGATTTGATAACCTATCAGGAGCTCATCCCTCAACAGCCATTGAATGCCTATAGTTCCTCATCTAGAAGTGGGGCCTTGGGACATTTCCCCCATTCACACTGCAATGTCAACTGGTGCTGCCACTACGCAGGTCTTGTTCAGGCAACCATATTGTTGGGATTTCATGGGTGCAGCCTCCCTGTCATGTCTAGAAGCCACTATCTAGCAACAGGTGTCCTGGTCCTCTAGCTCTTACAATCTTTCTGACCCTACTTCCATGATGTTCTCTGAGCCTAAGGTGTAAGGATTGTGTTATAGATATACTAGTTGGGGCTGGGCAACCCACAGCCCCTTATTGTCTACATTTTGGCAAGTTGTGGATCTCTGTAACAGCCTCCATCTGGGGCAAAAAGAAGCTTCTTTGATGAGGGGTTGCTTTTACTTTAGAGAGCTTTTTTCCCACTCTTGTTCTGAAAATTGCTGCTTTAGGGCTTATGGAAAAACTAATTATCCACTGCTTGATTAACATCAAACACTGTAGTTAATAGGTTTTTGTATTTCAGGTTCTTGTTTTTTTGACTTTTTTCTTTCTTAAGGGTCTTTAAACTTTTTTTTGTTTGTTTATATTTATTTATCTTATATGTAAGAGTATTTTACCTCCAGGTATGTAAGTACACCACATGTGTGCAGTGCCCGAGGAAGCCAGAAGAGGGTGTCGAATTCCTTGATAGTTGTTAGTCACCATGTGGGTGCTAGGAACCAAACCTGGGTCCTCTGTAAGAGCAGCCTATGTTCTTAACCACCAGGCCATCCCGCCAACCCTTTAAGACAGGGTCTTATGTAGCCCAGGCTGTCCTTGAACTGATCTTCCTGCTTCTATGCCTAGAGTGCTGGGCCCATGGGTGTGTACCACCATGGCTTGTACTTTAGTTTTCTATAGAACTTCGTAATTTCAGCCTCAGTTAACTCTGTTCCGACTGCCACATGAACCATATGGCTGAGTGTCCTGAGCCATACATTGTTCATAGTGTCTTGCTCCACCTAGGATCTTGGCTTACCAGATTTTGATTGTGAGGCACCTTTACCTTCTAGAACATTCTGTCATTTAGCATGTCCTAGAAGAGACCTTCTGTCAGAGTGACAAGTCTGATCTGATCTCTTTACCCACCATTCATAGATAGACATTAGCTTAGCCGGCCTCTGGGCAGGAATTGGTCTGTCTCCTGGTTGGGAAGCCCTTGCCTCTTTTATAGCTAGGGCACAGCCTTGTCACCTGACAGGTCAAACGTGGGCTGACTGACTCTTGGATCTTGAGGTGACTCTAGCAGCTCCCCCTTTTCTTCCCACAGTGTAACCCAGTGATGCTTGATGCCATCAAGGTTTCCGCTGCTCACAGGGCCCGATACTTCTGGGGCAACCTACCTGGGATGAACAGGTAACAGCTCTGAGGGGCACCCAGCAAAGCCACATTCAGGTCTTCTCTTCTTGCTGCTGATCTTTTATTAAATGTCATCTGAGATGAAGTGGCCCTGACCTAGGCCCCTGGTGACTAACCTGTGGCAGAGCTGGGGTGTCAGTAGCACAGACACTGGCTCCTTCAAGTTTTCTCACAAGGAGCATTTCCACCCTTTTATTAGAAACCAAAAGTGATTTAGTCCTCTCTCATTAGCCTGGTTTAGACACAGAAAGTCCTCTGCAGAGGCCTCCTTATCTCATCCTTTATGATTTCAAGAACAGCTTGCTAACTAAGATGCAAAATGGCATGGTAATATGACCATCTTAGACTTGCAAGTGAGTTATACTGTGAAATACTTTCAGAAAGATATGTGAGAACATTTGACACAGTGTGGACAGAGATATGAGCGGGTCCTGGAATAGCTTAGAGATCTGTTTTGAGATCAAATTTTTAATTTTTTAAAAAATCTTTTTTAAACAGGGTCTCCTTGTAGCCCCAGCTGGCCGGGAACTCACTATGTAGACCAGGCTGGCCTTGAACTCACAGAGACCTGCCTGCCTCTGCTCCCAAGTGCTGGGGCTACAGGTATGCGCCACCACACCAGGCCTCAAATTTTTAATTTTTTATCTGTTAGATAGCTTGCTGATGTATTTGCTTAACCAGCTAATCAAATATACCATGCCCATGTTTGGAATCACATGGGCTAATTTACCCATCATTGGAGATATCCTTGCCAAGCACTGGTATTGTTGCTAGTTCAGTGGAAGACATGATGTTGTCAGTGGCTCTTGTGGACTGGACATGCTAATGGGAAGGATAGAGAATACATGAGCAATTATATGTTCATGATTGGGGAGGTGGCATTGGGAAGCTGGGTGGGGACTGGACAAGACCTCATCCACTTGAAGTCCACCATTCCAGGCATAAGGGGGAGCCCTGGGGTGAATGGTGGGTAGATATCCACAGAGCAGCTTGGAGATCAGTGTTGTTATGTTGAGAGTGGCTTGGAAAGAGAACTGCAAGTATCTGGCTTGATAGTGCAGTCCTGACAATGGTGCTACTTAGCTATACACAGGCATAGGAAATAGCAAGAGGTTTCAAGAAATTGAATATACTGTGTCTAGTAGGAGGAAAACATTCAGCAGAAAAACGGTAGCGATAGGGACACTAGTGTGATGGTGCATTGCAAAAGAAGGTGAGATGGTGGATTACAGTACTCTGCTCTGGAAGGGGCCATCTAGTGAGGAGATAATGGTGCTACTTAGCTATACACAGGCATAGGAAATAGCAAGAGGTTTTAAGAAATTGAATATACTGTGTCTAGTAGGAGGAAAACATTCAGCAGAAAAACGGTAGCGATAGGGACACTAGTGTGATGGTGCATTGCAAAAGAAGGTGAGATGGTGGATTACAGTACTCTGCTCTGGAAGGGGCCATCTAGTGAGGAGACAAATGCAGTCAGTGCAGTGTCCTCTGCAGGTTGTAGCATGGCTGTCTTGTGGCTTAGCAAGAGGGGCCAGGTCAAGGATTTCAGCATTTATTTGCTTACAGACTGAGAGGATGGGCTGCTAAAGATGAGCTCTGCTGGGTTGTGCAGTGAGTGTGTAAAGCATCCATTGGGCTGAGGCTCAAATCATCTTGTTTATACAGATCGGAATCTTTTTAAAAAATATTTTATTATTTTTATTTGATGTGTATAAGTGTGTTTCCTGCATGTATGTAAGTGCACCCATGTCATGCAATGCTTGCATAGGTCTCCTGAAACTGGAGTTACAGATGGTTGTTAGCCACCATGTGGGTGCTGGGAATCAAACCCAGGTCCTCTACAAGAGCAGCCAGTGCTCTTAACCACTGAGCCATCTCTCCAGCCTCTACATCTGAATCTTTGAATCTGTATTACACTGAGTTTTCTGTGTCCTTTTTCTCCTGGTCCCTGACTTCATTAGTTCCATGGAGGACATAATAGGGAATAGGGGGCTGGTAAAATAATTCAGAAGGTAAAGGTACTTGCTGTATAAGCCTGATGGCCTGAGTTTGATCCCCAGAACCCCCAAAAAGGTGGAAAGAGAGAACTGACTTCACAGAGTTGTCCTCTGACTGCCACATGGCATGCACACATGCACACACATCAAACACACACATTAAGGATAAATAAAATTTAAAAGTAAAGAAGGAATAAGGTTGGCATTGGACAGCTGGAAGGTGTGGTAGAGAGAAAGGCCTGGTGTGATTCCTCAGCTGTTTTTGTGGCACTTTTCACTGTTTTTTCCTTCTTAACTTTAAAGTTCCCAGCTGGGGCATCCACAGTGTTGATGGTCTCTGCACACAGATATCACAAGGACATTTGGTTCTACTCTTGCTTTGTTGGATATGTTTGTCTTTGCATTTGCAAAACAGGTTCCCAGAAAGTTAACACATTTATCTTTTTTTTTTTTTTTTTTTTTTTTTTTTTAATTTTTTTTTTTAATTTTTAAAAACATTTTTTGAGAATTTCATTCAGGCATGCACGTGTGTACCACACGTGTGCAGTGCCAGTGGAGGCCAGAAGAGGGCACTGGATCCAGAACTGGAGTTAAGGGTGGCTGTTAGCTACCATATGGATGCTGGGAACCAAACCTAGGTCTTCTGCAAGAGCAGCCAGTGCTCTTAACCACTGAGC